TGAGGACAGAATCAAGTCGTTTCTCGAATAATACTCCTCAAAATGACTTATCGGTGACCATGGTATTGGAAAACGTTTGCGTGTTGCCGCGAATTTCTTGAAAACATTATTCATATTTCCGGCACAAGATTGGATGTGAAAATCGCTGACAATCTACAAGAAGATGGTCAGTCGGAACGCGTGAATTGCGTTGTGGAGGTTACCCCCAAGTGTTTGCACAGATAGACCGCAGAGTTGGAATGAATCGCCCCCACTTATTGACTTTGCTTTAAATAACATCGTATATGCCCCAAAAGGTCTTGATCCATTATACATAAATGGTTTCTTTACATCGCCGCAAAATTCCCCCGGTCGAGATGAGAAAGGGGCTATGGATCGAAATCGACTTGCTGAAATTGGTGTAACGACGCTTCTTAGTAAGATGAGTGCTTCCATAGTAGGAGATTGAGCGTCATGCGTTGATTGCGTGTCACGATAGTCAAGGGCCAAGACAAATGAAAGCAGCACGCTGACGCCAGAGGTCAGCTAAATGATAAGAGCTGTTGTAAAGTACAAGTTTGACCAAAGGCTAGCAACCTACCTTGACATGCAGAGACTGCGGTCTATGAAATTAAGCTGCAACAACGATACATCAAATTGCTTACGTTCGGAGCCAAAGCTGGAGGGAGTATGCTCTAGATACATCAAAAGAATGCAAGCTTACGCAGTGTTCTACGTAGTCTTATCAAAGCAATATCACGGCCCCGGTCTCAGGAGCCAGTTAAAATTGAATACTCTGGTGCAAACGAAGTTACGTCTTTTCCATCTCCTAAAGCTGATTTGCCCTTTGTTCCAAAGCAGCGACGCGGTGCTGAGCCACTGGAGGTGCCTCACGACAGGTAGTGCGATGACTAACCTCAGAAAGCGAATCCGATATCTGGTTTGTTTCAGCCTAGAACACATGCCGTGACTTACGAAGAAAGTCGACATTTCACATTAATCGAGAAAGCTCACAAGAGCTCACGGCAAATAATTAAATTTTGCTGACACTTATCGATCATCACGCCGTTTGATTTGAAACTGTCTGTGGAAAGCGCACGCCGAACTGTGCAGAAGATATAAATGACTATGTGAGAAGTCATTCCGCTCCTATTAGGAGCAAAATATTTGCAAAGTAATAGGTCATTGAGCGTTTTCATAAATTAAAGTGTATCGCTCCTCAGAATTATCACCGACGATAGAGCAGTAGTGGTTGGCGATACCCTTTCGCGCTGTGAGGAATGTATCGTAAGTACGCAAAGCTGGTGGAAGTGCTGATGGATATTAGACTTAGTTTGAGAACTGGAAGAGGACTGCAAGTCGTTTCAATCGTCTTGAGACATTACAAGCCAACATTAGCAATGCGATCGTCTGTCGAGCATCAGCTCATGTTTAACATTGCGAAGTACCAAGCACGAAACGGACGTTGAGGTAAAACTTCAGTATCTTAAGTTTCTTCTGTTTGCATCCCCATTTGTCTACATGAAATGGCCGCATCAACTTTCAAACACGCGTTCTATTCCCCACATAGTTGGTAGCCACCCAGTATTGAGAAGTGCACTGCGACGGGCCGCCTCGCATCTTCTCTAAGGTTAATGAAATTTTAAGGTCTTTGATTCGTGAGCGGTAACGGCGTCACGACATTTTGCAAAAGTCAAACCCATCCTTGACTTGTTTTTATTGAGTGGCCACTTTACTATGTACTGTGTACTGCTAACATCAATGGTGTTCCCGTCGACCCACCAAACATGCCATGTGACCGTGAGCTAAGCATATTTATTGAGCAGTATCGGTGTAGGACAAAATGATTGGCTCGCTTCGAGAGTCTTTGCGTGCATCCAAAGCTAAGATAGGTCAGATCTCGTATTTGCTCTCTAAGCTTTCTCATCGCAATACGACCTCAGCAATTCGGAATGCGTCGCTACTTTGAGGCAGAGGGTTGCTGGGATCTAAGAAATGGTAGGGACGAAATCTCGTCTACAATAGAGCGATCTACATCAAAGTAGTGAGGAGAGCGGGAGCATGGCACACTACTTTGAGGCCGCGTAGAAAAACAGATTTTTATTACGTGTGTTCGCATTCTGTCTTATTATAAAGAAAACAGTTTAACTTCTTCTAATCTATACCTGTGGATAGCCTGATGTTACACGATCGCAACTAGGAAATATAGATCTCAGACGCTGCATGCGTAGGTAAGTAAGCTTTTTAACTTTTTCCCTCACTCCACAATCATCTATGATTCACCTGACCCTTTTCTTTCGAAATATCCTAGATCAAGGACAAAGCGTAACGAAATTGTGTTGTAATAATACAACTTGTTTTGCCACAAGTTATAGCCGGAAAATATCCGCAAGTCGACTTTGATCGCCATACAACCGAACCTACTTTAGAGAGGTGTTACATAACACGGGGTTATCAAACGATTGCTATATATTTAATCAAAGCCTGGAGGTATGCGCTGCGTTATATAACGCAAATTTAATGAATAAGAGCAGCTTTGTCCAGCACCAGGGTCTCTCTGCGTCAAGTGCTGCGAAGGATATCCTCCTCAGCGCGAGTAAGCCGTGTAGTCTGACCATCTGTCTGTCGATTGTTGCAGTTAGTATGTCCAATCTGAGGCTTAACACCTCAAGCAATGTTCCCTAAGACCTTGCTGTAAAACGAAGATTTCTATCCAACATTCTGGCAACGAACAAATCGTTTTCACACAGATCTTTGCCGGAGAACAGCTTGGCTTCATCTTCGTATCGTATAATATTGCTAACAGCAGTGGCATCAGTCATTTGTTCAGACGATCCACAAAGGCCACAGTATCAGTAAAATCTACCTTTCGAAAGACCAACATAAAAGTCTAGATCTATCTAGATCCATAGACTCCCAATACTGCTGGAACCAACAGGCTGAGCGAAGTCGTTGACACTACGACAAAATTTAAGTTGCCAAAACCTTCCACTAGTGCGCACATAAGTGTTTAATTGCTACCCTAGCTCATTAGTTCAATGTAGCCAATGATTATATTAATATGTGCCTCGTTCAATATTGTGAAGTTGAGGCCCCATCAAAAGCAACTAACACTTTAATTGTCATTCGTAAGACAGCAAGCCTCATGATAAGGAATAGTGATGTACACGTGCAACCACTGCCTCAATAAACTGTAAACTATGAGATCATTAGATCTTTTTTGTAAAGCTTTCAGCAGTGCAACACATGTCGAGCATGACCTGTACGTTTTAAAACTTGCCTAGTAAATTGGCGAAGTCATCATCGTGATACGCTACATTTTATAGCTGGGCGACGCAAAAGCGCATCCGCCCCGACATCAAGCCGACCCAGCTTATACCGTGTCACTTGGAGATACTTGACAAAAATGGCCATATTTTCACTCTTCAGGAAAGATGTGGCTACGATATCGCTGAGCCTACCCAAGCATGATCTTTAAGATCCACGTTTATTGACAACGCACCCTCACATCCGTGGCAGATCTTTTATCACCACGTCGTGTTACTCCTGCAACAAAGAAATAAATTTGACCCGAGGTATCCCGTTAATAACTCTCTTCTCTTTCGCAATATGCTCTGCGATTGTTTTAATGACAGTCTCGTCCCTAAATGATGATGCGATCAGCTCTTCCACCGTTACCAACCATACCACTCCTGTTACTTCACATTCCGGCGGCTCCTTCAAACATATCACACGGATAGGTTTTTAGCGTGACAAGGACATTGGTCGAAGGTAGCGACGAAAAAAATACAGCACTTAGCACAATACAGTCTCTCCATGCACCCGTGATGCATCTTTATTCTCACAAACCAGGGAGACTTCAATGATCGGCACAGTGGGCGGGCCAGACGGTAGAACTTACATTTCATCTACATCGACGAGTAAACCTTTTGCCTTCAGAATTTGCTGTTATTAATTGTAACGAAATGTCTCTCTATCACACAACCGGCCCGGACACGGAAGAAACGGTCCAGAGATACACTTCGAGGACACGACGTGAAATTTTGCTTATTATCTCAACAACGATGCACTCTATCAACCACAATATACAATAGCTTTCATTCCATTTCATCCAGAAACCTCGGCTTTTTTTTCGAGCTCAGCTTGAGGCACCATTGCTATTTGTTTTAAACATTTTAATGCCCTGCACGGATGCTATCATAGCTTCGTGGCTGCGTCGAATGCCCTTCTGTTTTATGGAAGCGGTTGAATCATAACTTCAACGCCCCAGCAGCAGCGAGATATGTAGCACTTTAGATCCGACTCGACCCACGATCCGGGGCGTATCTCGCCGCGACATACCCAGGATGAGATCGTACCTCGAATCTTGGCTCAAAGCGAGTCGACGCTCTACGCTGTTAAATTTATCAAAGTAGCAGTCTTTAACACTTAACTATTGTCCTCGCGACAGGACGCATGGGAATACGCTATCCGTTTTATCTTGATTGCTTTTGCGTATTGGCTTCTATTTCCAACAGTTGTGCGCTGTACGGGATTGCACAACACTCCTGGAAACATCAGATCCTCCTCGGCTTCACAAAGCCCGGGACGCTGAAGTCAATACGGTGAATAGTCTTTGTGCTGTGAGGGCCATATGATTATCGAGAGTAGCTCTGACAGCGTACCGTAGGCGATGAACCGCAGCATACTAGAGAAGAAGAGTGGAATTATCTGGCTGCCGAGTATATCTGCATTACTCATAGATATTTCTTCTGTAGTTGGACTGCACGTATTCATCTGGTGTGCCCGTTTGCTCCCGGCTAGGAGGGACGAAGGTTCGAGCTCCCACGCAAGGGCATCCGTCAAGCTTCTCGCGAGGAATCGTCGAGTTCCAGTAGGAGCAAGGTGGTCTACTGGGAAAGAACTCGATTCAACATACCTCATGTAGGTTGTAGTCAGTGGGACCCACCACTGAAGTGACGACCCTCTCAAAGTGAGTTGAGGCTGACAGCTTAGTGTTGCTGATTACATCGAATTATTTTTCAAAATGGTGGCGTGTACTCGTAAGGACTTGGACCGAGCCGCATCTGTTCAGGGACCCTCGTGAAGACAGTTATCAGCACAGCCTTCGGAATAGGATCTTACGCCATTGAAGTAGAAAGAGCTCACAACCACCGAGCATAGTCTGCTAATTCCCACCTCTGTTTCGGACTTAAAGCGTATTCGATACGCCGGATTAGGTGGTGCGAACAAACGCGACATATTTTGCTTCATACGTTGCCTTGTTGTGAATGTCTCATCTCAAGATGTATGGCATGTAGGTGCCCAATCTTGCGCGTGGCCTGCTAGTTTGGACCGTAATTGTGACGCACAGTTGCTTTATAAAAAAACCTAACTGATTTCTATCCCCCTTTTTGTCAGATAAAGAAAATATTTCGTCAAAGGGATGATCGCTTACTACCGCGAGGCTACTGGTAATTAGCGGGAGTTATCAAAGATGTCTCATCGCCACATTCTCGTAGTTGGTGAGCGTCTCTCGACGACTGGTGTCCACCTCTGTCCATGGGTGGCCACCCTACTTTCCCCTTCGGGTAAACAATCGATTAAGCTTATTGTCGTGCTGAATTGTCCCAGGGCAGGTAAGCGAGCAGCTCATGACCCTCACAGCGGATACAAGTCGGAGTGCGATTGACGGTAGGTGCTACGATATGCAAAAGAAATGCCGTGCATCTTGCACAAAGAAACCTTTTTTACTTAAAGATTCTGCGTGTATAATACACAGATATTGGGCTTGTATGCCGCACCGAGAGACTCTGAGAAAACGGATACTTAGTATGCTAAGCTTTTACTAGGGTGAAATGTATATTAAGTGAATTATACTCAGTGAACATACTGTGTCAAATCCAATAACACGATGACATTTATTGCTTGACATGACGCACGTGAATCACAGATCCCCTATTCACGAAGTTCCATCATTTTTAAAAGATTCTTTCCAAAATCATATGCGTTGTAATTTTGGTTCTACTCGAGATGTAGCAACAACGCTTTGTGTGGCAGTCGTCAAGCTAGGAGGCACATATACTGCTTGCATGGTTGGAGCAAGAAAGAGAAAGGCTCTATGGGAGCGCTACAGGCGATAGATTACAGTCGATCTCTGTGGAAAGAGATAGCTCGTTTGGCTGTCGAATTCTGGTAGATGTCGGATCGGTGGTAAAACGAAACATACACACATAATATGTATCAATTCGGTGATGCGAAGAGTTGAGATCCTACTCTAGGTCGACATCCGAGCCCTCGCGTGGAAATGTCAAGTTCCAGTGGTGTGGGGCAGTCTTCTAACATTGATTTGAGTCTATTGTACTTCTTGATGATCGAGGTCAATATTTATCCAGTATTCAAAAGTGTAAACGCTTTAATTGAGATGAGGCTCATGCTCAAGAGTTTGACTGTCAATTCCAACGTCCCGACTTTTGTAAAAGGTAAAAAGGCCTGTTAGACACAGGAACATCATGCATTTGCGTTTGGCGCGGAACTGTTGAAATTTGGAGCCAGGATGTGCAGCCATTACAAATACCAAATACGGATACGAGATCCATGTGTCGAGACGAGGACATGCCAAAAGCACTTTAAGACGTTTTGTACAATTTAGTGATATTATACAGCTCTAAGAGCTTTTTAGCCCTTGATCTAGATTCAGATCGAGATATTACATAGCTTGGTCACCATGGATCATGAGGTTAAAAGGTTGGCCTTTATGGTATTTTTCGGTGAGTCATGTATTATCCTCTATCATGGCGAAGAAGCTCTTTTTAGCGGGCATGAAGATATTGCTTCAGTGCAGGACATAAAATTTTTCACAAATATTGCTAAGTGCATTTACCTAGACTCGGAAGGCTGAAACGGTAGTGAGACTCGGTGTCAAGCAAACATCTCTAGAAAACAAAAATTTATGACGCTAATCCGCCGACGACATAAAATCATCTATACCTTCACGGCCTTGCCGAAGCAAATCCGAGACATTCGCTCTTACATTCCACCAATTTGATGAGACATTTGCTCTCGTATTATATCAAACTGTTATGTCCCTAGCGCACAGCTTCAATTAGCCGTTTTATCAGAGATAACGTCATGAGACCGCCTAACAAAATCAAAAATTATTGATGTTTACCGCTATTTAACGGTGTCGCTTGATCAGCGATACCGCGTCGAATGCGTACTGTGCGAATCAGTGAATCTCCAAGGGTTTGTAGCGAGAACATTTATACACTCGTAAATAAATAGAGTGGCCAGGGTTTATAAGTCTCCCCTACTACCACTGATACAAGCTGTTGCAATGGTTCAAAGTTTACATATAGGGTGTGCGCGCAAGAAAATACAACACAGTTAGATCACCGATCTGGTACAATTATAACCGAAGGACAAGCTGAGGACATTATTGTTGATACTTACAGAACACTGAGTTCGAGAAATGTGGCGCTTATCGACAAAGATAATACGGATGACTATCTTTCGTTCCATGTACAGCACGATGTAGCAACAATTACTCGCTAGGGGTGTTACCCAGGTGCATCATAAATTAATCTAATTCTGAAATCAAATATTTCATTGCATGTCGATTGCTCTTATAAAGACAGCACTCTGACGACACAGGCGCTTTCTTCCGTGTAAAGCTCGAAGCAAGCTTGATGAGAATGTAACAAAACAAATTACTATCGAATGCTAATGGGAAATGTGATGTTTCTTGCTGTGGTGAACATTTGAGCTGGTTTTTCTGGGAATGACTGATTATTCCCTGATTTGTTAACCGTACCAATGACGATCAACTCTCCAACGATGCAGTGGTTTTTCCATACGCACATGGTTTTTCAAATATGCATTTATCCAATGTCGAGCGGTCATATGTGAACATCTATGTCAAACCAAACACTTATGGACATTGTTTTCGTGTGCGCAAAATTGTTTCAGTGAGTTGATAATCTTTGGCGCCACTCAAATTTCAAAATGCTTCATCAGGGCGACTGACCTGTGGACAGATCCTGCAATGGGGTTGCAGTACATACTGCACATAAGAAACTTGATCCTAATGGATCCGCTTATACAACGCTCAGAGGTCGAGTTGGTACGCTCCACCTCGGATCGGAAGCAAAGTTCTCTACCCTGACTAGACGTCTAATTAGCTCTGCTAACCTAACAGGAGATATGTTTGGGACTCGTCTTATTTTGACTTACCCTGGATATATGCCGTTGGTTCCATCTCATAATAAAACCGTCTCTTGTACTTGGCTTGCCCACGTTTTCTCCGATCTTTCCTGTTAGAAATTCTCTCATCTTCACGAATACCGGCAATATCTCAATTACAATCACACAGAAGTGCAATGTGAATTTCGTACAAATGTACAATATTATAATTTGCACGATTGTTCAAATCATTACTTCATGTCATCTGCGGCGCTTTGGTCTATATTATTAGCTGTGCTACTCTGAAAGTAAATTCCAAGGGCAAAAACACATCATTGCGTTTTTTATTGACAGCTTAAATCGGCAACGTGGCTATCGAGGTTTTGACCGGGGCTAAATGCTACCAGAATGGTCCTGACAGATTCTAAGCCATTTTGACGCATTAAATCGTTAGCAATGATGCTAAAACTTGCATTTATTTTTACTTTAAACATAGCATCACATAATCTTTGAAGTTGAAAGTTTTTTTAGCAATGTCGCTTTATACGTCACTTTACTTTCATGCACCCACAAACTGCTGTCATAAGGTGAGCTTATTTTCATCCAGACATTATATGCTTGTTTGATACGTGCATTCGTCACTAGAACTATACCGTATCATAATTAATACAATTGATTTAGATGTGTAAGGGTCAAGTTCACAAGATTATAGTACATACCTTGTTACACCTTGCTTCAATATTTTGGGAACCAGCACACATTGTCCGCATCACGAGCAACCACAGATTACAGTTTGTAAATAGTGACCTGCCACACATTTGCGACACATGCGGTGATTCTTGAATCAGCCATTTTTAAATTCACACTCGACAAAGCCGGCAACTTTTAAAGCTGGATTTATTCAGTCATAGACAACGAATATTCTTGTTACATTGTACACATTATGGCGTGCGTAGACAAAACATTCTTGTCGCTATTGTTCTTGAAAAAAAAATTAAGCTCATAAAACCAAAGTACACGACCAAAAAAAAGTGTCATGATTGATGTTGTATGGGTGAAGGTGATGGAACGCCGGAAGAGAAGTTTCGTAAAGATACTGTTATCCAATTGAAGCAGGCCATGAGCCCCAACTTTTACAAGCATGAAAAACTTATCAACATTTGTTGCCACTTTGTGTATGAGAAAGCTGATAAGACCCCACGGTGTTTGAGATATTGCTACCTATAGATAAAATCGCACTTATAGAGAAGGAGGTAAAGTCAGAAGCAAATACAAAACAAACGATCATCTATACACCGCATGATTAGCAGCTAATAATGGCAAATACAAAGTCTACTTGCGGTTTGCCGCATATAAATCTCGTCCTTGCTTCCGATACATATGTCTTGGCCAATACTCGCCCTTGTATCACAATTCTCTGCTCAGACCGTTAGCCGGTGTAATTATGCTGTAAATAACAACTATCAACATTCGGGCGAAGGTTTGTTGCAACTGTAATGTAGTTAACCTTTACATGTGTAAAAATAAAGAAGACTGCCATTTGCTCAGAAGTGTCTCTTCAAACATTTCTCTTTACCCGCACTAGGATACACATTACTTGTACATCTTCAACAGCTCAACAATCCTTGATGAAGGCAACGCTTTGATTTTCTGGCCG